TAAACTTGAAATTAAAAATCATTTGCGGAAAATTGATCAACAATTAAACAACATGGAAAAAAATTAATCGTGATAATTACCAATGGTAAATGACCAACAATTAAAGTTGAATGAGAGAGTCCAAGTCAAGCCCAAATTCTGAGTTAATATCAGATAACTGAATGAACAACATGGTGATCATCATGTAAACATTGAATTCTTTTGTATAAAAATAGAGAAAACCAAAAGTTCAGCTCAAGAAAAATCAAATTTCTCATGAAATTCACTTTGTAATCCGATTCATTTTCTTATTTATATCAATTATTATTCTCATATAATATTATCTTCATATGAGTTCACCTAATGGATGGAAAAGTTTTGTAACATGATATCAGAATTCAGGTAGAACTTTAGTTTCGAAAAGTTCTCTTTTTCTCTCTCTCTCAAAATAGCCAATGGTCAATTTCTCTTAGCAAATGAATTTCAACTCAACAAGAACCGGAAATAATTCAAGTTTAAAGCAAAAAAAAGTCACTCACCAGAATGAAATAAAATGATTACAATTGAATCATTAAATTGTTGATTACATAAAATGTTCATTGGTAGGAGTTGATTGTTATCGTTGATTAATTAGACTAGAAAGTTCAATCTCGTGACCGATAACTATTAACATGATAAATAATTTAACTTAGTAAATGGGAGTTGAAAAGTTATCATTATAAATTCAAAAGGACATAAAAAATTACTCCCTTGACCATTGGATAGTAACATTGTAATTCAAATTGACCACAATTATGATAAGGGAGTGAATACCTTATTGTCCACTTGGACTGGTCATTTTGGTGATAAAAAATGGCTCCATCTAGATCACCATTTAATGGATAATCATTGTAATCATTTTCTTGTTCAATCCAATTGATTATCTTTATATATAATCACCAAGGTGTCCAGTTTGAGGCTATTCTTTATCACGATGATGACCATTGGAACAATGTAATCATTAGATTATGGACAAATTTCGAATGGTCAGTTTATCTGCTATTTGAATCACTCATTTCTGTTTACATAAAAGTTCATTTTTCCAACATGATGGAATCTGATTAATCAGAGTGAAAGTATTCAAAGGATATAATTTTCAATGTCAGGGAGCTTTTATCATGATAATGGTTATTTTCATTCATCCTTAATGATGTTTCAATATGATTTAAAACAATATAATCAAAACCATTATCATCTTCAGAATCCTTAATCATCATCATCATCATCATGCTTCATGAGGGATAAAAATGATGATTCCAGATAATGATGGTTTTTTCATGAGAAAAAAAATCTGAAATGAACTTTTGCTCAAATATTGAATAGTAGAGAGAGGGAAAAAAATTCACTCATGAAATTCATTATCATGATTTCACATTACCATTATCTGAATTTACTTTGGAAAGTTCCAATAGTTTCAAATGTACATTCCTTTTTGCTTGTCAAACTATTAACTGATTGTAAAGTAAAACCTTTCATCTCATTTGATTAATATCATAATCAATATGATTGATGGTCATCATCATGGATGGACAATGTCAACAGTTTTTGACAATTCTGTTTTCTTGTTCTAGTTGTTGTTTTTTTCCAGATCAAATATTACATAAATGATATTTAATCATCAATATCTGTTGATAAAAATATTATATTAGCAGCATTAGTGTAAACAAATCGTATTGTGTTCACAGTTTGTATTTCAATTGAATTCAGGATTATATCAAATTGAACAAATGATGGAGAAGGGAAAAAAGATAAAGTTATCATCATCATGAATCAATTCGGAATAATATCAAATGACTCAATAGATTCAATATGAATCAATCATCAGGGAACAAAAAAAGATGAAATTTCAATGATTACGATTCAATGGTTACTGAAATAATCTGTTCTCATGATTGATAGATTAATAAAATAAGAGGATTTATAATATTAAATAAATTCAGATTCATTCTGATCAATTCAATCGTTTATAATGATCATTTGATGGAGACAATTAGTAAATAACCATTGAGCTAATTCTTGATTAATTCATTATGATATTTACTCAATTTATGTTCTGATGAGGTGAAAATAAAATCAACCGATCATTTCGGTGTATTAAATTGTCTTGACATGCATGGGGATTGTTCAGTTTGACTCTGATTTCTGATTGAATTTGTAGTCGCTGTTTTTTTTTGCAACATTTAATCACAAGATGAGGAAGAAAATGATGCAAGAGAAAAATAAAAGATGATTTCGTGAGCATCAGCAAATGATGGAAAAAATTAGGTCTACGATAAGCTAACGGAATTATTAAGCTGATCATGGTCAACATTGGATGATGATGATGATTAGTATTATCATTATTAGTGAGAGATGATGAGGGAAGCAACAGAAGTCAATGAGAATTGATGAGAGAGTGAGAGAGAGATTAATAGAAATGAGTAAGATGATGGTTAGGATGATGCAGAGAAAAGGGATAAACAATAGATGAGAAAAATGCATTGAACTAAAGTTTCATTCTGTTGATTCAAGAAGATGAAATTGACTAAGTAAATATCGACATGAAGAAAAAGATGATGACAAAGATAATGATGATGGTGATGGTGAGAGATAGCAAAGTGAATTGAATGTTTTATGTTAAGCTTAAGCTGAGATGGGTCATGTTATTGTAAGAATTGAAATCTTGTTTGATGGAAATGTGATCTTGTTGGAATTGAGAAGATGAACCAAAATCTTTTGCCTTAAAAAAAATAAAGAGAAAAAAAAGATTGATAAAAATATGAATATGACGCGGTGGAGAAAAAAATGAAAATTCTTAGAATATAAAATCTCACCTTCACTTTACCTTATCATTTTGACCTGTTTCAAGTATTGAGAGAAAAGTCAATTTCCTAGGAAAATAGAAATTTTCAAGATAATCTTGACACGAGAATCCTGTGAATTTTATCATTCAGAGAGAGAGAGAGAGAGAGAGAGAGAGAGAGAGAGAGTAAAAGTTGTTCTAGTCTTTGCCCGGCGGGTTTTCCATCATGAATAACAGTTTTTTCTTCTTTGTATTTGTGACAATTTTTTTCTATTAAATTCAAGTTTTGGTTATAAAATCTAAAGAAACATGACTATATGGAACTGGAATTAAATAATTCAATTGTTGATTCAATATATTTTTGCTAATGTTATTTGTCAGGTTCATGGACAAAGACAAAAATTGTATTACAATTGATTCTGATTTATCATTGAACTTTTACTTTGCATCATGAATTTATTATTCAATCACAATGAAGTCACAATGGTCACAACTATGAAGAGATGAAAAAAACAAGGTTTCATTAGGGAAAAAGACACAGGTAAATGTGAAATTTGTTTAGAATTGTAACAGAATTGTAAGAGAAATGCTCTTTTCTCAATCTCTAACCTCAATTCAATCCAAGCATAACATTCAAATCAAGTTAAGCATGAATCATATACATGGTGAAACAAGATTATAACAAGATCAACTTATGCATATATTAATGATGATAATATTTTCCTTGGAAAGTAACAGTTTTCAAGACAGAGAGATACAGAAATAAGGTGAGAGAGAATATGAGTGAGATAATATTTTACTGGTGAGAGTGAGAGAGATGAAAGATTGAAACAAGAAGAAAAAGATATAAGATAAAATATGTAAGAGTTATCATTCTTGAGGATGATAACAATTCCTTTTCTGGATATAATAGTTACTTACAAAGAACGAGAGAGAGAGATGATGATGATGATGATGAAAAAAGTGAGCAAAAAAGATAAGTTTAGATAAAAACAAGAAAAAAAGAATAATATTTTCATGAGAAGGAAAATTATTCCCAACTAGATTCTGATTCTCAATTCTTTGAAAATCAGATATTTTCGGTGGAATTGGTTAGTCAATGAAATGATTTAACAGGTTACGAAAAAGTTATCAAAATGATTAATAACAATCAGGGTAAATTGTTGTTAATAGTGTTGATGGAAATGTGGTTAATGGCATTTTTAATATTAATACAATACGATTAATAAAATAGATGGATAATCAATCAAATTAGTTGTTGAACCTCAGATGAATTAACAATTATCCAAGTTTATTTCAAAAACTATTTCATTGATTATCTGTTTGATGATTATATTATTATCTTAATGTATTGGGATTTAATTGTCATTAGGAATAAGTTAATAATCAAATATCAATTACAATGGTAATCAATTCAAATGGATTAAGTTGAACATTAAAGTGTAATTGTTATCGATTAGGTAAAAGATTATGTCTAAAATTAGAGTTAATTAGCTTGTTTTTTTCCTCGATTCATGTTAAGAAATTGGATTAACAATTAGTCAAACTGTTACACCCTAGTTGGTAATTGTAAATGCTACGGTGGTGGTAAACAATTTCAACAATCAAAAATAATTTACTTCTAATCTGTTAACTGGATAAAATGATTAACTTTCAATTGTGATAACAAGATGATGATGATGATGATGATGTTCATCAATGAAGGGAGAAAATGATGAAAGAAAATGTTTATCTTGATAATCTTGTTCACTTTGACAATTTGATTCAAAACTATTTACCTTTAACCTCTTACTTTTACCTTCATATTGTCACCAACAAATAATATGATTAACCTTGTTTTTTTAACACTCGATTTTTTTTTTCAACGAAAAGGTAAGTTAAAAACTAAATCTTCTCAAGGTTATTCAGTAAGGAGAAAATATAGTAAAACGATAATATCAACAGAGAGAATGGAAAAGTTGAGAATAATAATAACCAGATGATAATAAGTAATTTTGGATGTGATATATTAATGGTGGAAGGGAATGAATTAAAGGTAAAAAGAATAGAAATATTATCTGGAGAGATGATATAGAAGTAGAATCTTTTGATATGGAAATCACGGTGATAGATTGTTAGTTTTACTATTTTAATAAACAGAATGAATTTAATGTATTATATGAAAAAGATGAATAATTAGAGGAAATTGTTGGTTACTTACTTCGTGCACTTTTTGATATTTCATTTAAAAGTCTTTTGTAATCCGTATCTGGATCGGTTTCATCAAAATCTCGGTGGAAAGGTCGAGTACCGAGAATGGCAAAAACTGCCGCTAAGGTGAAATAACAGGCAGAATTACCCTTGGTACGATCTTTAAAATTATGATATAACATTCCAAGTACTTGCCAGTGAAATTTTTGTAAAATATGAAGTAAAATGATTCCTATCTGAGAATAGGAACCATTCATACGGGTAAGGGTTCGATAGGCTGGAAAACGATGGTCAAGGTTATCATTTTGTCCACCACTGGTAAGCAAGGGTATATCCCATACAGCTGAGTAACGGGCAACCGGGGCAAGTACATAGGGGCAAAGTGGACCAAGGAAAACATCAGCAGTACCTTCATTATAAAAATCAAACGCTGCCAATGGTCCGGTTGTTGATGAACAAGCGGTATCACGGTAAAGTATATTGATAGATCGATTGGCTATACCATCTAGATTGGGTTTCTTTTGTAGGGAATTAACAGCATAAATGATGGCGGGTAGAATTTTATTCAATGAATAGGGAAGTGAATCATTGTTTGGAGCTAGAACAGCAATTGATATATTACGAGTTGAAAGGTCACGACATCGGGGACATGAATGTGGATGATGTTTGTAACGATGATGATGAACAGATTCTTCAATTGAATTAACACAACCTAAACCAATACCACTTGTAACAGAGATTAGAGTTATAATTTTTAATAGAAAAATAAAGAAAAAGAGAAAAGAAAACCGTTGATAAGTTGATATCATTTTGTTGGGGAACTTTTGGTTGGAAGTCAATGAAAACTGATGAAAGAAAAAGAAAAAGGATTGAATTTAATTTCTACCAACAGGTGTCACTTAAATAGATTTTCTTTTTTAATTATCCGTTAGATGGAGCTAGTTGCCTATTCGAATTTAAATCGAATCAAATAAAAAGAGAAATTCTTTTTAAAATTATTAATTTAGTTGCGTTTACTAAGTGTTTAGTATTAATATTAACTCTTTAATTGAGATTTTGTTTATTGTTAAATTATCCTTTTCTTGTTAATTATCTTGTGCTTCATTCTAGTTTAACTGTTATTTTTGTTATTGATTCCTTATTGAGCTGAGAAAAATGTCCGATGATTTTGGATCAGCCGGTGGTTGGGGAGATTCTGGAAATTCTGGCAAAAAATCTGATTTAACATCTTCTGGTGCTGGTAGTTCATGGGGAAATGGAGTTACTAGTGGTTCATCAGCAAAAACTAGTTCAGGTGATAATTGGGGATCTGGTGATGATTCATGGGGAAATTCTGGTGGTTCATCGAAGAAATCTGGTGGTAATGATGCCGGTAGTTCTTGGGGTGCTTCTGGTGGTGCTTCTGGTGGTGACTCTTGGGGAGCTAGTGAGGTAGAAAGCTCAGACAAGCCAAAAGGCAAAGGTTGCTTCAAGTGTGGGGAGGAAGGACATATGTCTCGTGAGTGTCCTTCTGGAGGAGCTGGTGGTGGTAACCGAGGTAAAGGATGTTTCAAGTGTGGTGAAGAAGGTCACATGTCTCGTGAATGTCCTTCTGGAGGAGGCGGTGGTGGTGACCGAGGTAAAGGATGTTTCAAGTGTGGTGAAGAAGGTCACATGTCTCGTGAATGTCCATCTGGAGGAGGCGGTGGATCTCGAGGTAAAGGATGTTTCAAGTGCGGAGAAGAAGGTCACATGTCTCGTGAATGTCCTTCTGGAGGAGGCAGTAGTGGATCGCGGGATTGTCCTACAGGCGTTAATGAGGATGGATCGACACCTGACGCTAGACCTCCAATTTATGTGCCACCTGAATTGAATAAAGATGACAAATCACTTTATGAATCAATTGCTACTGGAGAAAACTTTGACCGCTATGACAGTATCCCTTGTTCCGTAACCGGAGATGATAAGCCCACCGATCCAGAAAGATATGAGACTTTTGAAGAAGCATTTACTAGTACAACTATTCGTGCCGGACTCGCAGCTACCAAAATTTCTAAACCAATGCCTATCCAAAAATATGGTATGAGAATCGTAATGGCCAAACGAGATTTAATGGCTTGTGCCCAAACAGGATCGGGTAAAACTTTAGCTTTCATGCTACCAATTTTACAAGATTTATTTTCAGATCCTGATACTACCAGTGGATATGGTAGTGGTTGCCAAGAACCAAAAGCTGTGGTTGTCACACCAACTCGAGAATTAGCAATTCAAATTTATAGAGAAGCCTATAAATATAGCGCTGATAGTATAGTTAAAGTTCAAATAATTTATGGTGGAACCTCAAGCTCCCATCAAAGAGCTAAACTATCTGAAGGCTGTCACGTTCTTGTTGGTACTCCAGGCCGAATTATCGATTTTCTAGATAAAGGTTATTTCTCTTTCTCTAGTTTAAAGTATTTTGTTCTAGATGAAGCTGATCGAATGATCGATCAAGGTTTCATTCCTGATATAAGAAGAATGGCTTCTCACCCTACAATGCCTCCAGTTTCCAAGCGACAAACTCTTATGTTCAGTGCTACATTCCCTGACGAGGTTCAACGAGTTGCTGCAGAGTTTTTAAAGAAGGATTATCTTTTCCTTACTGTAGGAATTCTTGGTGCTGCAAACTCTGACGTTGAACAAACATTTTTCAAAGTTGATAAAACCGAAAAGCGAAACAAGATTATTGAAGTCCTTGGATCAAAGGAAAATAATGATCGAACCATGATTTTTGTTGAAGCCAAAAAGACGGCAGATTTCTTAGCATCCTTCTTATCACAGAAAGGATATAAAGCTACAAGCATTCACGGTGACCGTTTTCAACACCAAAGAGAAGAAGCTCTTAGAGACTTGAAGTCTGGAAAATATCCGTTATTAGTTGCAACTTCAGTTGCCTCCCGTGGTCTCGATATTCAAGGTGTTCTACATGTTATAAACTATGATCTTCCAAAAGAGATTGACGATTACGTTCATCGTATTGGACGAACTGGACGAGTTGGTAATAAGGGTAGATCTACAAGTTTCTATGACCCATCCTTCGATCGACCTTTAGCTGAAAAAATCGTACCAATTATCGAGAAAGCCAGTCAAAGTGTCCCTGAATGGTTAAAAGATGAAGCCGGTGGCGGTTCACCAGATTACGATGATGGCTTCGGAGGAGTAGATTTGAGAAAAGTAAGTAAACCCTTTGACCCATTTTAGAATTTCTTTTAGTCATTTTCTCTTATAAAATCTTTTTTCGCATTTCTAGTTATCAGATAATTTCGCATCTTCCACTACTGTGAACGAAGAGAATTGGGATTAATCATCTCAAATTTAACCAACGAGAAATGTAAGTATACGCAGCTATTTCATCTCCTCTCTTCACAAATCAATTTTTTGACTCCTTTAACACCCTTGTCTTATTTTTGTTTTTCTAATCTTTAGGCTATCGATTATCAAGTGCCTCGTTTATCTTTTTTTTTTTCAAGGACAATCTCAGCAAACAGTTTACAAAATTTTCTATGTTAATCATCACTTTTCCTAAAAAAGACGACCAGAGAACAAAGTTCTTTATCCATTTTCCATTTTTTGTAAAACCATTTTTCATGATCAAAGTTATTTTACAAATAACTTGAAAACATGCTCATTTTTTTCTTTACCATTATTTTGACAACTACTTATAATTAATTAAACCACTGCGAGATTTTGTTTAACAAATAATAAATTTATCTAAAAGGACCTATAAACATTTTCAATATTCTCCTTTGGCTTTTCTTCCCAAAAACGCTTTTAATCCCTTAATCAAACTAAATATTTGAATCACTTGAACAAGTTTAACTACCATTAAATTAAAGTGATCAAAGGTCAAGAAGATTGACCATAGTCATCGGATTTAAATTTTGAAGAAAAAGATGATCATCAAAATCAATAAACTCCTAATCATCTGAGGCTACAATTAGTCAAAAAGAGAAAGCGATGGAAATGGTTGATGAACACTTAACCTTCACAATCTAAAGTTAATTAAAAGAACTCAAATTTAACCTACTAATCATGTCTGGTGTACTATTAATGTTCTCTGTTAATTGAGAAGTTAAAATGAGAATCACAATTGCGAAAACAAAAACAGAGAAACAATTAAAAGGTTAGTATAGAGAAGCCAAAGTTGCTAAGAGAATAGAAAATGAAAATTTCTCTTCCTCCATTTTCCATGTTGAGTTTAGAAAAGAATATTAACCAAATACGAAGCATTTTGTTTAGAATTTCCGAGTATCCACACGAAAAAGAAGACCAATTATAATTGCTAATTAATTAGCTTGAAGAACTTAGAATTGGAAAGAATTGAAATCAATTGAATTAAAATTCGATTTTAGAAAAGAATAAAAATTTTCTTAGAAAATAAAAAAATGGCGCCATAAGAATTTGATTTGATTCGGTTACCATAGTAACCGTGTTGTCAACGGTTAGCAAATTCAATTTGCCAAATTGTTCATTGATTTGGACCAATAACACTGGTGTTGCGAGGGAAAATGTTCCCAATTAAATTGATGTTGATTAATTGTCGACAGTTAAATTAGATTGTTGAGCCGAAAGGTCATTCGATCAAATGATTTCGTGTTGATTGGTAAACTTGTGTAATTATTTTCTCTTCAAATTGATTGTTTCATTTTCATCTCTTTCAATTTTATTGTTTCTCTATTGTTGATTATTTTTTTAAAGTTGAATTTTCTATTTTACTTTCTCTTTGATATTTTCCATGTCCTGAATATGAGTCAAATTCAAGATCTTTCTAACCCTATTTGGAATAAAACTGAATCATCTTTTGTTCAGAAATTGGGTTACCCTTTTCCAAGAATACTTAAGTCACCTGAAGAATGTGTTAAAGCCGTTGATTGGATTGTCCAGAATGTGATTAGTTTATATGATGATGATGATTCGATTTGTTCTAGTCAATGGTATGATTTTATTTGGACAATTTTCTGGTCAACACGTACACGGATTGTTCAATTGCAGTTGGATGATTTGGAAGGTGTTGGAATCATTGAGAGATGTGCTCGTTTTCATATTTTCTCTGCCCATGAATTTGCTGAGATGACAGAACCTTCGTTTGTCTCCAAGTTTAACTTTGAACACATTGGAAAATGTCTAATCACTTTAAAGTATCTTTATCATGATCTAAATGGACGTGGTATCAATTGTACCAATGAGGCTGAATTCTTGTCCTACTATTTGATACACTTTCCAAAATCTTATCGAGATTTACTTGATTTCCCTCCTATTATACGACTGTCTAAACCTATTCAATTTGCTCTCAAATTCATTGAGACGCTAAACACCAGCAATTTCATCGCGTTTTTCAAACTGGTCGAGGAAGCGACATTTCTACAAGCATGTTTACTTCATCGATATTTCTTCCAAATGAGGATAAGAGCCTTTTCGGTTATGTGTAAAGCTTATAATCGAGCTCCAGATACCGTTTTAAGTATCAATGTCGCCCAAATAGTATCATTATTGGCCTTTGAAGATGTTTCCGAGCTTGAAAGCTATTTAATCTACGGTGGGATCGAATTTGATTTTGACAATGTTTATTTCAAGTCAACTTATTGTCCTGGAGCTGGACCTACACCGGCGATTCGGGAATCTGGAATAGCGGTTGGTTATAAACGTGAAAACCAATCTTTAATAGATGTAATCACAGGAGGAGAAGGCCTAATGATGCCAGCTAACAAAAATCCTATCCTATCGGAGGTAAATCTGAATGATTATAAAGATGGTAAATTTGGTGAAAATTTGAGTTATCGAGTGCGACTAGCAGAAGCAATTTGGAAAAGTATATTCTTTCAAGTAGTCAATGATCGAGTACTCGAAATTTGTACAAAATTAAGGTATCCAAATGGTGAACCAGAGTACGAATACGATGACCAGCCAACATTGGGATCACTGGTTTCTGAATTAGATGGCTCTCGAAATGAAAGTAATGCTGAATTAATTTTTGAAGAGAACGTTGAAAAAGAAGCTAGTCAAATAAAGGAAAATACTCAATCTAAAGTAGAAGAAAATGATCAAGTCAAATCGGTTGTTTTGCCAGAACCGGAATTGGGACCTTATATTGAACCTGAACCTGAACCTGAACCAAAGTCAAAATCTGAGATCGCACCAGAAGTAGAACCAGATCCGATAAATACCATATCCCAAGAAAAAACTCCCGATTCAAAAGTACCAACTTCAGTACAAGTAACATTGCAGCCACGGTCACGAATGCGAGCAATACGAGCTCGACTGATAAATAAAGCACGAATTCCTGTTCAAAATACAACAACAATGCGAAAATCAGAATCAGAACCCGAACCTGAACTCGAACTTGAGTCTAAATGTGAAAACCAAGCAGAACCTGTACCAGAATCGGAACAAGAAGCAATACAAACACCCGAAACGTTGCTCGAAAAGTCAACAACACCAATATCAACATCACCTGATTCGGAAACCAGGTCAGGACCATCAAAGTGTTTAAACACACCAGAGGAAAACTATGAACAAACATCAAAAACGGATGAAAATTCAACTCCAACAATTAAGGAATTAGATGACTCTAATCTGGTTATTTCTGATGACGGGGACGAAGAAAAAGTTAACGAGCTCAGGCAAAAAAAGGCCGTAAGAGTGACCATCGCGAGCATCCTTAAGGCCATAGAAAAATACAACAATCAACATGGTAAAAGATTGTAACGAACCTTCAGCATTTGTGAACATTTTCATCAACGATTTTCTCTCAACAAAATCAAATCCAATTCTGATTCAAATGCTTCGAATATTATTTTTTACAACAATTCTGAAAACTTTTATATTCTTTTAATTTTGAATCTCACTAGCAATCATTTGAAAGATCAAATCAAACTATTAATCGTTAATCAGATTCTTGATCACTATTGTAACTTTTCAAATTCAAATGATTTGAATGAAAAAAAATGTTAAATCAAAATCTTGAAACAATCACTATTTTAATTAGTATTACAATGAAATATTATTGATTGTTGATGAACAAATATTGGAATCTTAAATTGTTGTTTTATATACTTTTCTGTTTTCTTTAATTGTTTACAATTTATTACAATTAACGTTTGTTTTATTTTTCTGCATCTTTTTCATTTCGACCTGAAAATGTTACATTGGCGATACACAATTAATTTTAATTGTCTTCAACAATTATTGATTATGATTCAAAACTTGTTCCCATCAATTACTTAATTAATCAATCATAAAGTATTTGAAGGTTAACAATTACAATTAAATCAATGATGACGATAACATAATCAAATAATAATAATAATAGTTGATTATTAACAATTTAAGATTTGATTTCTTAATTATATAATAATAATAATCAATGGAAGCAAACAAATTGATTGATAATTAATTGTTATAATTTGGTGTTGATGACAATTATGATGATGATGATGATTTAAATTGGGAGTCGGTGATAAAATATAATTGTGAGTTTAAATGACAATTTAAATAAATTGATTGATTTAGAAAAAGAGAAGAGACAAAAATTTAGTTAACCAAATCATCAATTGATTAACAATTAGTGTGAATTAAATGTCAACAAAATTGTGTAGTAAGAGAGGAAGAGTAAAAGTCTTTGATTACAATTAGTTAATTGTTAAGAGGGGGAAGGGAAACTGAGGATGATTAATTAAATTATCTCATTGATTAGGGCAGTTAAACTGTTGGCACTGGTTTTCGGTATAAATTGTTAATCAATTAATTAAATCACTCAACCCGTTTGAACGCATTACAATTAATTGTTACCCAATAATTAATGTTTAATTGTTGAGTTTATATTCCCACTGTTGGTGATGAAGTGATTAACCGATTTCCTTTTAATTAACTTAATTGTTGTCGTAATAATTATTTGGATAGACTAGAATTGAAATTGGATTGATATTAAAAACTTTTCACTGGATTAGTTAATTGTTTCAACTGAGCTGGTCTCTTGATCCTTAATTGTTTTCTTTTTTTTCCATTAAAATTAGTTAATTGTTTGTTTCTTTTTTGGCAATTTAATCTCTATCATGATTACAATGGATTAACTTAATTGTGAGGATGATGAGGTTGTTGTTGTTGTTGGAGGTGATTGATGATAATTATGATTTTTGATCTAATTGAGGTAAATTCATTTCCTCGGTGATAATAATTTTCTCATTGATTAAGATAATCGAGATGATGTTTTCTTTTTGGTTTTCACAATTAAACTTAATTGTCAACCGATTCACTTAAACTAGAATCTTCTGCAATATCGGCCATTCCTGTTGTCTTTGTTTTAATCTCATTATGATTCGCATCGGAAACAGTTACATCTTCCTCTTCCTCTTCCGGTTCTTCCAAAGTGATCTGGAATTTTATCTTATCCGCTTGGACACTTAAATGTCTCGTATCCTCACAACCGTCACTCTTATCGGGTGTTTTCTCGTGCTGTTGACTTGATTGTTGACATTTATCACTTTTCTCATCCGAAGGTGGACCTTAGATATAAATAAGAAAAGAAAATCAATCAAGAATTAATCATTCCAACTTATTTTATTTTCGAAAATTCTTACTTGCAGGAATTTGACTCTGAAACCAATCCCGATTCTCTTCAAGTGCATCCAAAATATCCTGAGCGTCCGGATTGACCAGGTCAGCCCATGTTTCGTAAAGCGGGTGGACAATATAGTCAATAAAACTAACCTGCAGTCGAAAAGTTAAAAGGCAAACATTGAATGTGAATATTTAGCAATCAGAATGACCGTTAACTGGACACTTCGAATTTGTTACCTGATATTTTTCTATAACAGTATTATGTCTATCACACATTGGACTTATATCGAGACCTTGGGCTCTCTCTTTATCACCTTGCATAAACGATTCCTCGAAGATCATATTTACCCACCGACGGTAAAGATTAAGGGGTTTGGTGGGATTACTTAAATCGGCACAATGAATAATATTTTGTAAAACTTGAATTCTTTCTGTATAATTATCTAAAAGTAAAAATCCCGATCCAGCGACTTTCTTTGTCTCCACCATGGTCTTCAGATCAGCAAGAAGAGATAAATGTTTGGACATATCGGTGGCCAGTACCATGTCAATGGTCATCTTACGTAGGGTTTGCCGTTGTTTTTTGGTCAATTTATCAAAAATGTCGGTACTCTCATCTTGAAGTATCTTAAAGGCAACTGCAAGTGAATGATTTTCCAGAATCGACTCATCGTTATACATTAACGCCAATTCTGAGGAAGTGTTGATCAGATATTGATTAGTGACACCGGGATGATCGATATCATGGATCGCCGCTGAAAACAGGACTGCAAGAATTTCTAAATCAGTAAAGACGGACTAAAAGAAATAGAGATTTGGAAGACAGAGAAAAGATTAGAGTTTCGATTGACACTTTGGACATTAGGATGAGAACGGGATTGGTTCATCTCGCTCACCTCAAGAGCTGGTGCAAGAAGTAGGACGTGGACAGATTGAGTTACATCGGCGGCATGGGTACTATTATGATAGGGAACTTTGAGATAATGTTCCTCCAGGGTAATAGCACAGGCGACAAACTTTTTGGAAGATATTTTAAAAGTTTTGAGAAGATCTCGTTCCTGTGAGAGGAAAACATTTCAACCAGAATGAGATTAGAAAATAAAAAAAAAGTTTCCAATGAATAGAATATTGAAAATATCATCAAAAAAAGTTCTTTTCTCGTTTTTCTCTCTCCCATGAAAATCTACTGAACTTTTGGTTATTACTTTTACCTTTTTCACCCTTCTTTTACAAAGAGGATTAGGAAAAAGCAAAGAGATGTAACTGTATTATCATTTTATCACTGATGAAAAAAGGAGATTATCATCATCTCATATAATAGAGAGATATGATAAAATTTTCTGTGTGTGAGAGAGAGGGAAGATTAACAGAATTTCATGAATGAATAGATTGACATCATACCCTGAATATTGTATACATGGTGGCTGTTAGTGGGTGGCAACCTGAGTACTCTGAAATTTTGAAAACATCTAAGCCCCATTTGTTTACATCGGTAAAAAGTTTGGTAAGTTCGGGCTCATGGATTGTTTCAACTCCGAACTTTGGTAATTTGGTTAAACTATTGGTATGGGATAAGGTGGTTTTCCGAACACCCGTTATTTGGGACATCGAAAGACCTGGTTTAGCTCTATTAGTAACTGATGATGTTGGCGATGAAGATGAACATGTTGTTGTTGCTGCTGCTGATGCCGCTGATGATGATGATTGTTGTTGAAATTGTTGTTGTGATTGTTGTAATTGTGATAATCCAATTGAGCTCATGTTCCGGTTACTTGTGGTGGTGAAATTTGCTGTAGCCCCACTGGCCACTGATGCAAGTACTTGAGCTTGTAATTGGGAGACTGAGCCATCTTCAGTTCGTAGATACGGTAAATCGTAATCTTCCTGTTTCTCTGTAGACGATGAACAAATATGAACAATATTTAGAACTTTTCTCTATCAAACATTCTAGTTTTTCGTCTTTTTTTTTCTTCAATTCTATTAACTACTAACCCAAGTAGGTTTTTAAAAGATATTCGGAAATTTGGCTTCCTGATTTTGATTCCGAAAAGTGGCTCAACTCTTTGTTGAGCATTCGCTTAAATTTACTCGTCGCCATATCACCAACCGATCGATGAGCTTGAATAGTTTCTAATTGATCTAAACACCAATCCAACTCTTCTAAGGTGTTCAAGGCAAGATTCGCATTAACCTCATCTGATGCCGATTTCCCTTGGATCGGAAAATTGGTTGAATTGCTTGTTGACGATCGTCGACTCTCCCTGGGCCGGGAAGCCGAAATTGGAACATTGGTAAGATAGATATAGTTATTTCGAACATTTCGAAGGCTCGCAAGAATTTGTGCAAATGGTGTTACAATAACTTCTTCACCATGACTATTGAAATAAGAGATAAAAAGAAAAAATCGAAATTAATGAAAAACAGTCGAAAAAGGAAAACGTGAAAAAAGTTTCAAATTCGTGAGCGATAATCAATCAATTTGTACTTACGATTCACCACTTCCAATGGACGAATGTCGTGAAACCGATTTTGGGGACATTTCAAATTCGGAATCAGATCGATAAAGAAACGATTCCCTTCTCGAAGGCATATTTTGAAGGACAAGGCCCGTACTTGGACTGGTTGCATCAAGGTGTTTATTGGGTGAACCGGAATCGTCAACATCGAAACTATTTAGAGAAAACATGGAAAGAAAAGTTCAGTTAGAACCGATTATTCAAAAACTCTAAACACAAGTCATATTGATTATTGGAAAATCTTTTTCTTCATTGAAAATCAGATGTAACTTCTAATTGTTAATCACTCTAATCAGATTACTCTCAGTGAGCAGTAATTGTTGTATCTCTCAGCCTCTCTCATGTTATCTAATCATTCAGGATAATTGAAACTATCAATCAAAATTAACATTGGGTAAGATTTTTCTCTCTCTACTTTTATACATTTGATCACCTTGATTCAGTCTGAACAAGTTCTGAGTGTATATCATATATATATTTGGGTGAACATGAGAATCTCATGTATTCACCAAGTGAAAAAAACCATTACATTAACTAATTAAATTGTAATTTTCACTTTTAAACATTGAATTCATGAAAATCCTTGATTGATCATCACCATGATTACAAATCAGTTGTTATTGTTTTGTTTTTCATCGAAACCTTTTGATTGTATAATCAATTGTAATCAATTCAAGGTAACATTTTAAACAAGATTGAAGTAAGTCAAAATTTCAAGGTTCAAATTTCATGATGTTTTCATCAAATTTTGTATAACCATTGAATTTTAATGAAGAGACTCAGTAATCAACAAATAATAATTAATCACCAATAAAAAAATGTAATCACACATCAAGTATTAATCATATCAAAATGATTTACAGTTAGTTTTTGTGTATAAATCACTTGAATGATAGTTGAGATTAGATCAACAGATCATCAATCAGATGGATCTGAATAGTTCATTGAGTGTTTCGTATGAACTTTATTTGTGTCGGTAAATGTGAGATATTGATGATTAGTTACACGGCGGGAAAATAGAGTGCGATGTCAACTGAACCTTTGATTTTCGCCCGGTGAGCGATTATTCATCCAACCAAGAGAAGAGGAAAAAGATTGATAAAGAAAAGGAAATAAACCTTGAGAACGAAAATAAGAAAGTTCAATCAAATCGAAAGAAGAAGAAAAAACTTTCGAACCAAAAAGTTCTAATGGCCAATTTTCGACTTCAATCGAAAGTAAATAACCACCGGTCAATCATTAGTCTAATTTTCACTTGCATGTAATCATTTCAATCAACAATGAAAAGGTTAATCAAGAAGAAAATTAATCCAACCTGAAATCCTTAAATCTCAATTTAATTACCAATCAGATTTAATTGAACATCTTAATTAAATCTTATCTTAATTCCCATGTAACCAAATTAATACAAATTGATTGTCACCTTTGGATACATGTAAAGTTAAAGGCTAATTGTTGTTGATTAACTTGGTTAATCAAATAAATTGAGAAGACGATGAATGAAACAAAAGTTAATCCAAAACAATTTAACTCTAAGACATTAAAGTAAAGTTAATCATGATGATCAAAATTAATCATTGACAATTACATTTAAAAGCGAGGTCTTAACAATTAACAGGACTAAATTTCATTTGAACAATTGATTATAATAATAAATTGTCAACTCCAAGTAAACTTAATTTAATTCAATCGACATCATTAGTCTGTATTGTGAACAATAATTGTTAACCATTACTATTAACGGTTAACAATATAATCATTAATAAGTTTCTCTCTCTCTCTCTCTCTCTCCATCTTCCCCATTATTCACATTTCCGTTTCCTTTTATCTTCCTCATTATGATTTACCTTTATCATCACCATGATAATAATGATAATCATCTTCATCGATTAGTTTAATAATCACTTGCATTTCTTTGTCCATCCTAATTAACTAACGACAAAACTTGATCGACTCTCAACTTGTCGTTTCCATCATTCTGATTCTCTTTGAAATTCATTCAGGGAGAGCTCAGAACTTTTACCTGGATGAAGATGATGATAAAAAAGAATTTCTTCTTCTTCTCATCTTCTTCTTCCTTTTCATCTTTTCATCTTTTTCTCTTACAGCATCTTCTTTTGTTGTAATATCACAACTTACGATTTCCAATTTCAATTATATTACCTTATAATACGGAGCAAGAACAACAAGTATTATCAAGAAGGATTGGAAAGAGAAAAAAAATTAACTCGAAATCAATTGATTCCAATTGATTGATTGTTGTTGTTGTTGGTTGATTGTTATTGTTGCAAAGTTAATTCCCCAGGTTTCTGATTGCAATTATCAAAGGGAATCAATTTGATTTGTCAAATCAAACCTATTAAAACCTGAAACCATATCAGCAACAATCATCATAATCAATTCATCCTAATGGTTAAACAATCAAAGTAAATTGTTCAATTCAATTAATAACTCACAAAATATAATTACAAGTTGAAGGTTACATTTTGGAATCAGTTAATTATCAACAATTGCAATGAGTCTAAAAATGTACACGAATTGATTATCAGTGAGATGATTGGACAAAGTGATGATGATGATTAGTAATCAACAATCAACTGTAGTAATACAATCAATTCAACAGGTTAGTCGATTACAATCAACTTTAAATCACTGAGAAGTTCATGGTTATTCATGAATCGAGAATAATTTTGATAATTGAGAAGAGAAAATTTTTTTTTAATAATACAAACGGATCAACGTTTCTTTTGGCATCTTAATTGTGAGCTGGTAAGAGTCAACTCAGATTAATGATTAATTACAGTGATTAAGTGAGATTAAATTACAGAATATTAATCAAAATGAAACAATCAACAGAAAGATCGTTGATTCAATTGACTGAGAAAATGTTTTTCTCCGACACAATCAACATTAAAGAAGAAAAAAATTTCAATTCAAATGACGAATATTTTTTTAGTCTAAACAATTTTCCATGATATTCACTGAATCTCTGAACTTTTGTGTATCATCATCATGTTATAACTTGAAATATCACATTACATGGAAAAGGTAAAGATGAAACTCAATTTCCATGTAAATGCCTAACTGAATTATTATTATTATCTACTGAACTTTTTTTTCTTTTTCTCCTCCATTCATTTTCTGTATTCACATTCAGATTGTGTGTATTATCAACTATGGATTCCCTGTTCCTATTTATCATGGTTTGTAATTGAAAATTATAATCTAATCATGGTACATGAATAGTTGTCTCTTATTCATTTGGATAATCATATATACACCTTTACATGATATAACTATTTACATCACCTGAATATGTATATATCTGTGTTTGTGTTATTTTTTGTGGATAACAAGGTTCATGGAATTGAGTTTTCCTTTTCTCCATCATCACCATCATCATCATCATCATCATGAGATATTGTAGCTCATAATGAACAATATAACAGAATAGCAAATTTCATTTGCCTGTCTTGAATTAAAGATGAGAACTGAAAACGAATCAACATGATAAACAGATTTCTATGAATCAACTGTCACCTTTGATTGGGAAAGTTACAAAGAAATAATAACTTGACCATTTATATAAGAGATTCAAACATGATGACCATCAAGAAATCATCATGATTATCAGGGTTATAAATCTGATTTAAAGGTGAATGATGAAGCAGTAATGAAGGAACAAGAATAAAATGACAGAGAGAGAGAGAGAGAGAGAGAGAGAGAGATGAAGATAAGAAGATATAAAAATCAATGGAACATAATATTATTCGAAGATGAGGAAGAAAATTCTCCATTCTGGTGAAAAAATTATCTCTTAGAACTCGAACTCATCCTTTTTTTTGGATTAAATTGCAACTCGATTTTCAAAGTTAATTAAGAACTCGAAACGAGCTTGGAAACTTTCACTTTCTCTGTTCTTGGCACACTTTTCATCATAATTATCTTTATCTTCATCATCATAATTCATGTAAATAATACACAGACAATTAACCCTCTTCAACGAACCCACAGAACCACTCAGAACGATTTCATCCACTCTCCACCCTCACCCACTCATCATCATCATCATCATCCTTATCCTCCTCCACCTCTTCAACATGATGCTCATCATCAAGTCTTTCACAATCAATGATTACACATTTAATCATCAATGAATAAATGAAACAATTTAGCATAATCATTTGCTGTTATTATTCATGTTTACAAACAATTAAATTAACATGAAATTCATAATATTTAATCAACTAATTTCAACTGTTATGTTTATCATTATTGTTAATTGAATTGAATTTCAAGTAATAATAATAATGATCAAAATACTAAATCAATTTAATATTAACTTGATTAAATCTTGAATTTTCAATAGTTTTAATTGTGTTTATTGTTATTATCAAATGATAATGAGCAAAATAATTGCAATTATTTTCAAATTCAAACAATTTAATAATCAACTGTTATATTGTATCAATAATGCGATACAATTAACTTAGTGATTAATATAAATCATCATCAAGATTCAGTTAATTTGTCAACAGTTGACAATCAATTAATTGCTGATGACATTGTGATCATGATAATCTAGCATGTAATTAATAAATTGTTGATAATAAGTTGAGTTATCAAATAATCATCATCATTTTCAATTACAGTTATAACAATTAACAATGTCAATGTCATTGATAGTAAACTTAATTGTTGTTAAACTGAAAGGTAATTAATTGATTTTCAGTAAGAAAAAAAAAGTAGGATATAAAAGCCTTTTAATCAATTGATTACAAATTATCATGATCCATTTATCAACAATCAATTTTATCATCAACAATTAACTTTGTTTTTCTTCACATAATCAATCAAATCATCAGATAATTGTAATCATCATATTGTGTAACTGAATCTCAATCGTCATCACAATTAACTAATCAAGATTATTACAATAACAATATCAATGATGATCAACATAATAGCTGAAAGTGTTTATGATATTAATCATAATCATCGTCATCATCATCATGATTAAACAATGAAAAACCATTAACCTCAATGTAAACATCAATTGATTAAATGATCAATATGTGAACACGATTGGTAATCAAACAATCATTTCAATCAATGAATTAACTTTTAATCAACTAACAATATTAATTAAAGCAATTCGATGAAATGAAAACTAAAATAAAAGCATTGAAATCTCATGAGACTCAAAAGGTAATCATCATCATCGAGTTACAATATTCAGTAAATTGTTTAGGAGTTTGAGGGTCTCCTAGTAATCAATTTAATCGTTATAATTACTATTTAATGTCTTGGTGATAGTTTGAATATGATTAAAGAGAGAGAGAGAGAGAGAGAGAGAGAGGAAGAGAGTGTGGGTAAGTGTTTCGGATTAATTGTAATTAAAATCAATTAACCATAACCTACCAGGTATTCATAATGATTGATTACATTGGGTTGTTGTTGTTGTTGAAATGATAAGTTATTATATCACATGGTGAGAATGGTCCAGTTTTCATGGTGATGAAGGAGGAAAATCAGGTAAGGAGGATGATAGAGAGAGGGGGGAGTGTGTGTATGAAGGTGAAAAACGAAAAAAAAAGAATAGAAAATCAAAAACAAGGTAAAATAGCATAAAAAAGTATTCGAAAAGGTTAATATGAATGAGTAAATGAAAATTTCGAAAAGAGAAAAACAAAAGATGAAAATGCAAATGAGGATAAATAATAGAAAATGAATGGAAGATGAATGGTGGGAGAGTGGAAGAGTGGAAGAGAAGAAGAAGAAGACAAATGATTACTAATTATTGTCAATATTAACTTTGGGTGTTACCTTGACGAGGATCGATTCCTCGTGAATCTTGAGGCTAACCTGATACCCCCGATTGGCCTTAATTCTGAAGGATAAGATGATCGATGAACGGGTTGATGATGATGAATTGGATGAGATGACATTGCAATTGAAGCTGATTGAGATCGAGTTGTTGTTAATCGTTGACGACGTTGTTTACATGACGATGAAAATGATTGTCCACCTGAATTTACACCAGAACCCTCACCACCCTTACCACTTAAACCACCACCACCAGGAGTGGGTGAATTAGATGATGAATGGCTACTATTAATACTATTGGTACTGTTACTATGATTACTTGAGGGATTATCATTTGGACCTGAATTGACACTCGAAGATGAAGATGAACGCATATTGGTTGTTGTCATTGTTTTCAATTGATTTGATTGCTGTTGCTGATTAAGATTTTGGTTCAATTGTTTCGCAGGGTGGGAATGGTGATGATTATCAGGATGTTGGTGTTGTTGATCAATGAAAAACGACTGAACCCAATAGAGGAACATGTGAATCAATATGAACATCTTTTAATCCACTTGAGATTCCTCATAGTGGTTGATTTTTCTTTTGATTCTTTTATTTTTCTTTTCTCTTATATTCTCATATATATAAATTAATAATCTATCATGAGTGTCTTTCGGTTAACAATCAACTTTGGTGGTGAATGATGATGGTTCAGGTGGATAGTAAATCTCATGAAAAAACAACACTGAAACATTCACATGAAAGATACAAAAATGTCTACTGATTGTTGACTGATCATCTTTGATAAATTGCAATCAAAAATTAGTGACACTTATTGTTTATCCTTTAAACTTGCTGATTAACTTGATGGTTTTTCAATACCAAGATTATAAGAATCAATCACAGACGTTGATGTATAAATATATGTATGGAAACTATGGATGAAATAATAACATGAGAAAGTGATGAGGATGAAGAAAAATAAACTGAGTATTGCAAACGAAATGCAAACTGCAAGGTTATCAAAAAAAAAATACGATAAAAAGAGTAAAATTAATACTTAATTGCAGATAAGTGGAAGAGGAGAAATGATAACAATTAAAGAAAAAACAACAATGAATTGATAATGATGATGATAACAAGTGGAAATGATGATAACTTAGTAATTGGAATAAGATTGAAAGGGAAAAAAGGTAAACAAGAGTAAAAGTCAATGGAAAAAAAGCTTTTTTTCTGGTATGAGATTTTCTTCATGTGATTCATGTTTCTGTTGTGAGTTTTTACATTGAGTCAGGGGAGAAAAAGAGAGAGAGAGAGAACTGAATAAAAGCTCACTTGGAATTATCATTATCGTCATCAGTCTCTCTCTCTTTTTTCTTTCTCTTTCGATAAATTCGTGAGCTCTTTAACCAGCTTTTCTCTTAGAATATAATCTTTCTCGTGGAGAGCAGGTCGATACAAAATTCACTTTCTTTCGATTCGAAAGAAAGAGCCAGAAGAGAGAGAATATGATGAGGATGAGGAAGAAAAGGTGGAAGATAAACATGATGATAAAATTGCAGAAAAAGTGGAACATGCGCTAAGGCGAATAATTTGATTTCATGATGGAAGAAATTTCTCCCATCGAATCATCTGTTTCTCTCTCTCTCTCTCTCTCACTTTCTTTCTTCTTCCTTTTCGTCATCGTCATCATCATCTTCTCTTCTTCCGTTTTCTTTCTTTTTTAAAAGGATTTCTTTTTCCTATTCTCATCATCATCATCATCATCATCTTTTTTATCTTTTCCTCTCTTCATCTTCAAATCATGTTGTTTTCCTTTCACCTAAATTTCAGTGATCCTGAATGTGTATATAAGATGACGATGATGATGATAACAGTAATGATGATGATAGAATCTTTTTATAATAATAGGTGAAAAAGCTTCTACTTCTTAAACCTCATCATGGAAAAGATGATAATGAACAAAATTCCAAATTCAGTGAGAGATAAAATGAAAAAGAAGATGATGAAAACAAAAAGAAAATATCGACAGAAATGAAATGGAAATATTATCATTGTTATTATTAAATGTTCTTCCTATCATCATCCTCATCTTTTTGAAATGCGAACTTGAAGAAAATAGGAAGTAAAAACTGTAGAATTCATGGTTACTCATGATTTTCTAAGTTTTTTTCTGAAGAAAAAAAAGAAAAGAGAATCGAAAATATCGAAAATTTAATATTCTAACGATAAATTTTCCCGGAAACTGAATGAGAAACTTTCACTTTGATGAGGAAGTTAATTGGTGAGAGGTTAATATTTACTTGGAATAATATTCCAATTGAAAAACAATTCACAGTTACGTTGAATGAATTAGAATGAGCAATTTATTTCCATCAGTTTGAAAATGAAAAATGGTCAACATATAAAGTGAGCAACTGACCAGGTACATGGTAACTTTGAATCTCTCTCTCTCTCTCTCTCTCTCTCTCTCTCTCTCCAGGTAATGAAACAAAAAAGTTGTATCATTGAAATTACAATGAAAAAGCATAAAGATAAACCTTTTTGCAAGGAAAATGCATTTATCTCGTTTATCTGATTCTTATTCAGTATCATCATCATTTTCATTGTGTTTCTATTACTTGGATTGACTTACGATTTTTATTAGTTTTTCATGAAAATCTTCATGAGCATTGAATTTTCTTTCAATGGATAAAAAGTAAAAATAAACATTAATATATAAAAGATGTTGATACAATTTCTTATTCAGTTAAATTCTGTTAAATTTAAAACCTTCACTCTTATCTCATGATTATCATGTTAATATCAACTGGAAACAATGGCAGTGGGTGATTTTCAAGGTGAAAAGGTTTCCAAAAATCCACCACGTTCCAAGTAAAGATAATGCATTTAGAATATTCTTATAAATATAATATGTTATACTTTTATCTGATTCCTGAATTCAGGCTTTTCATGTGCTTTTCATGAATTTTATGCTTATCAAGATTTAAATATCATCAATATCACCTAAATAATCAGGAAAAGGTTAGAAAGTGAAAGAAAAACTATTCTCTGAAACTTTTCTTGTTCGAAAACAACAATTCCATTATCTTATTAATCTGATTGGATTAGAACAGAATATCCGAATGAAATTTTATGTAATTCTCACAGAATTTACAGAATTTCTGAGAAAATTTTATATTCTTATCAATGTTTATCCTAATAAAGTTTCACTTTCACTGAGAATTGAGAGTTAAATTTGTTTTTCATTTGATTTTCCATCAAATTATCATGAAAATGAATTGAGAGATATTACCACTCGAAAAGTCAATTGAGTAAACAATGATAATGATAATATCCTTTCAATATATATTAATAGAGGTAATAAAAAATTGAATAAAATGTTATATTATCATTGAGAAACTTGATGTTTCCATGATGTATCAATATAACTCATGATTATTATCGTTACCATGAAGCAAGAGGAAAAATTAAATTGAATGAAACTCAACTTTTTTCCTCCATCATTTTCAAACTCAATTGTCTATCATGTTATTGATATATTTTCATTTATTGATGCTGGGAAAATATATCAATACAACCATCAACTCAGGCAATCAATTCTGAAGATGATCAAGAGTAAAATTGAAATACTTGACGAAAAAAGTTTCACCGAATCCATGAGAATGATAAACAAATATTATCATTCTGTTTATGATTATATGAGATGATAATAATTATCCTGGTTACCATTACCTATTATTATTATCATTTAATTGCTGTTTAATATGTAAATCAAATTAATTGAGAGGCAAATAATTTGCATCACAATGAGAGACTGAATATCGGAATAGGAGGAAAACTTTTCTGTCTATGGATAAGAAGGTGAATGATGATTATTTAGGAACTGAATTAAATCAATATACAATAAAAATGATCAATATGAGTTTTCATTGTGTTGATTATGTTAATTAAAGGCCAATAGATTAATTGAATCAAAAGATAATTAAAGTTTAGTGACAATGAGAGTCGACAACAACAACAACAACAACAAGTCAATCATGAATTCTTGGAATTGATTCTGAACTTTTCTCATTATTTATCTCGAAAATTGTGATCGTCAACATGGTGATGAAATTTTCATGGTGACATTTAGATATTGGTTTTAAATTGAAATCAATTCTCTGATTGCTAATCTTAAATTGATTGTTTCTCTCGGGTTGTTTTGTTGTGTAAAACCGCAGGTTTGGCAAACATTTCATGAGATATTGATATTATGTGAGATATATTTTTAGTATTCCGATTTTCAGAATAGCACAAGAATACTTTGTTCAAATACTCATATAATATAACGACAGCTCAGATTATCATGATAATGAAATAAAATATCATCATGGTGATTAAGTTGAAAACAGAAGCTTAAAAAACTTAGTGAGCAGAAAAAAACAAAGCAATTGCTTTGTATCATGTTTCTGGTTACAATTGAAAAAGATTTAAAATAAAATTGAAATTGAGTGAACAGGGTAATCAGTTTCATCTTCACCATGATGAGGATGAGGTTGAAATTTTTTACTTCTCTTTCACCAATTGTATTCTGAATGTTAACCTAATTGTAACAACGATAAAGTTTCTCATCCAAATAATAAGTTCTGTTAAATGATAACAACAGACAAAACTTATCTAAGTTAATTTACTTTTATCTTTCAATTGAATTTCATTGAATCTAAATTCAGTAACACCATGAAAACTTCATCATCATTATTATTACTATTATCATCATCATGCTATCTCATACAATTTTCATTTGAACAAAAAAAAAGTTGAGCTTGTATTTAATTAATTTCAAAGTTTATTGTATATACACACTTGATGAGGATGCTGAAGATGATACAATCTCAACCTCACTGAACTTTTACCTGAAGACAAATGAAACTTTTCACCGAATCCATTGTTACTTAAATGCAAACATTAACTGAAATTGAAATATGATTAATCGAAATTCAGTTCATATATATATATCATGTAATCAAATTTTCTCGTTGTTTCAATCAACAGATTCTAATGGATTCTCAGGATGAATTTATTTCCCTGTATCTTTTTTTATTACTCAGTCATCAATGTATCACCTTGAGGGTTTATCATTGTCATCTTATCTTATCATGAAACCGGAACTAATATTACATGATAACTGGATCTATGGGTGAAATTGATTTCTATATATTGACTCAGTTACATGATTCATGGTAAACACCATGAATCCTTATGAATTGTTTACAAAACTTTGATCCCTTTATGATTATTTGATAACCATTAACAATCAGAATCAGAATCAGAATCATCATGAGATCAACAATTATCCAATTGGTTTGCAGTTAACATTTTAATTATTAATCAATTCCCATTGATAATAATTTTATATTTATGCCGAATCAATTTTCTGATTTAAGTAATGAATTACAATTAATTAATTAATTTTGTAAAAGGGTAAAAAGATGAAGGAAAAAGTTAATGATTACAGTTGGAAAATTAAAATAAGCAAATTTAATCAACAATGTTCATGGTTAATCTCATGCAGCTAATTAACTGAATACATAAGCTTCGGGAAAATAATAAATGGGTTAAGTTAATTGTTCAACAGTTTAACTATTACTTCAAACAATTTACCATTACAATTGCTCATCATCATCATCATCATTATCATCAATGAGCTTTGCCAAAAAGGTCAAACCAATACAAAAGTGATAATGAGAAACCAGAAAAAAAAATTAACCCAAACTTTTTCCTGGTTCATATTAACCAACTGATCCAATTGATATTAACCTATTCTCATTTGATCATCATCATTATTTACCATTGACCATTATCCAAGTGAATTAACAATTAAAGTTAATGATTTGAGATTAAATTATCATCAGATATCATCACACATACAATTAACTAACCATTCAAACAAAACAACTAAATCAACATCAGTCTATTATTATCATTATTGTATAATTGTAAACAACATCGAACTGGATTTAATTTTTATTACAAATCATTTGTTTCTTCATGGTAATTGTTGAAATAAATTATCAACTATTAAGTAAATCAATGATTAAGAATAACAATCAACTAACCACTTTCAGTTTGATTATTGTATTGACACAATTTAACCTTAATCTTTGATCCGAATGGGTAAAAATTGGATTAAACCAAAATTAGCTTAATTTATATAACTAATACTTAATCTTGTCAAGTTTTGACAAACTTTTTTTGTCAACAATCAACAGATTAACACACAAAAGGTAAATAAAGTTTTCACCAATAATCTGATTTAGTTAA